GTTCCAGAGATTGTCTTTTGATACACAGAAACATACCAAGAAATCTCCTAAAAGCACCCACTCAGGTGAATTTCCCATTTGTAAATTAACTCATGGAGACACAAGATGGGATTTCTCGAGAGTCCAATGGAGTGGGGAAATGCCCACAATTCAGCAGAGTGCTAATTTCTCCCCAGATAAATTTAACAGGTGTGTGCGAGACTGAATTCCGAAGGGGATTTCGAAAATGTGCTAATTTTCTTCAATCGCACACAAGAGATGTATTGAATTTCAGCAAATACACGACAATAGAGTGAACGGAAGCAAGATCAATGACTCTGTCTAATATATTTTCCTTTCGCTCGAAATAACTCCACATATCGATTTCATTAATAATTTCCCAGAGAAATTACTTCTTTTGGAATTGCAAACAGAAATATCCATCGAAGAAATTGGGTGACTGTCATATATAATTTTATCTGATGTGGAAAATCAGGGGAGAATTGAAAAGAGTTGATTGCATTTTATCGCCGCGCGCCTGATAAGCGAAAAAGTCTTGAGATTTTGAGTGTCAAATAGTCTATTGAAAATTCAACCATATCAGCTGCTTGTGGTAATTAAGAACTTGAGACGATTCCCATTGTTTCGTCATGAGTCAGTGATACATGAATTTATTGGTCTATCGAGCACGTGATTCAATTGAATTGGCGGAAAATGACAGAAGATTTAACTTATGTTGCATCATTTCCCCAGTCAATCACACATTAATCTTTCACAGAGCTTTTCACTGGATTCCCCAAAAAGGCGCCACACTCAGATTCTAAGCCATGAAATCGCCAATCAGTCTCATTTGTCAGAAACCAGAAGCTCACCGGCTTTCCGGTCTAAAGCACGCGAATGACCACCGAAAGTCGCCTCAGTGCCTTTTATTGATACTTTCCAGGTGAACAAGGAAGACAAGTGGCGAGAGGAAAAGTGTGTATATCTTAAAATTTAATGGACTATTAGTCCAGTCTCAATAAACTATCAAAGTTGTTATGAAACAATAAAAGCATGAAGAGATTTTAAACGCGCGCAAGATGTGAAAAAAAGTGAAAAATCATTGGGCTGAAAGAACGCCAATTAGTCAATTTACATAACGCACAATTACGTTGCGGTGTTTTCCCGCATTTTCTGTCATTCGATGGGAAATAATGAGGAAATGTTCTTGAGCACAGGACATTCACCTTTAACCTCCACAGCAAGACAGACAAAAAGCGCGCTCTTTCAGGTGACGCGCGCTTTCCTTTCCGCAGGACGAGAATATATGAAGGAAAAACCACATTGCGCCAACTTTTATGTGGCAATTAGTGGCAAAATGGGATTTTTGGCAGATCAAATGACTCATTTTGTACCAACAATTAATTATTATACTTGATGCCTTGTGTGTGTCATTTCGCCCAGAGAACACTTCTTTCCTTGACTCTGTTTTGTCTCATTATCTTCACGATAGGAAAATTGTGATGTGACGACACAAATTGCAGTGAGTCACTGGAAAATACATGCTTGTTGAAATCATTCGATGAGTTGAATATAATATTTATATGATAAAAGCAACAACTTAATCGGAGGCAAACAATACTCACTTTTTACGGTAGTTTCAAACAATTACCTTACTAAAAAATTAAAACTCTGCGATTTATTGCAAAAAAAAATAATGCAAAAAATCAAAATGAGAAATTTATTCATGCATTTTTCACGTGTCATTTCATTTGATAATAATTTTTTTTACCAATTCCTTCCAATGCCTTGTAAATGTGTTATCAGAAATGTTTTCTCAATATCACAAATGCAATTTATTTTAATCATTCTCCACTTTTTTCATTACCACTATGATCAACATTTAGCGTTGCAAAGTTAATATGTCTTTAAGCATCTTTTCCAGTTTTCTTCACATGTTCTTGAATTCTTGAATGCTCAAAATGTGTCCATGAGCGACGGAGTTTCTGTGTTTCGTTATCTTGTTAATCTTCGTGCATTTGCTATTAAAATATGTGTGACTTTTTTCTTTTTCCACCATAAACCATCAAAATGCATAAATTCACCTCACGTTCTCTGCTTATGAAAATTCAGAAAATTCAACTTTTCCCACTATGTTCTTCTAATCCATCGATTCAATAGATTTAATGTTATGCAACTGGGCTTTTCTTCTCTTCCATCGCGAGTCAGCTGTACACTTTTGACTCAAATCTCTTTGCCTCTCCCAAAAATCGCGTTAATTGCCAGTGAAAGCAGTGGCTATTAAATCAAAATCCTCTCAATTCACCGACACACGAAGAATAAAAAACCATCATTTGCTGTTGAATGTAGATCACAAAATCGCGCGTCAATTCGCGCAAAAAAAGCGCCCAGAAAGACTCTGTGCAAGAGAGACGTTGGGTTTAACGGCAGTAACATTTCATTAGCAATGCAACGTGAACCTGTACAAGACATAATTTTTTCCTGCCATTAACTCTTCTCCCCACCACAGACGCACCAGCGACGGGCCCAATTCCGAGGTGGGGACTTGATCAAAGCTGACGCTGTGTTTTGTTGAATAATTATGGTGATTTTTTCAGCGCGATGGACTTGCACGCTTCACGGAAAACCGGTTGCCGCGAACGGGCACGTCTTCTGAGCGGCCTGAGAGACTTATATTGACGATGTGACGAAGAAGAAAAATGGGCCCTCGACATTCCTCAAGCCCTGACAAATTCGCGATGAGCCAGAAAATAATTTTTTATTGTTGTCACAAGAGCGAAAGACACCTCAAAAGATTGCTTGAAAGCCCCCCACAAAATTGGGGTCTTTGGCTCTTTTCTGTGACAATCCAACACACTCAAACACAGCGGAGATTGTTCATTCCACGCTGCTGACCATGTCGCACACCAGACATCACCTCTGCACAGAATGGAAACTGAGAGTCCACGAGAGCTTTGGGCGCTCGAAAAGCGAAACTCCGATGAGAAATAGGTCAGTTTTCGATGTAAAGCAGTCTCACGAGCCGCCAAAATACACCCATTGATCGCCGATTCGGGATTTTGGGGTCAAAATTAACATTCCACGGGGCACAGGTTAAAGGATTCTCACGCAATTTCGGCATTACGCAGCCTTGAGAGGCGCGCTTTTAACGACTGCCCAAGGAAGGGAATTCCATCGAGGCCAAGAGAACCCAAGAAGACATATCAAATGTGGCGCAGTGAATAAATTCCCGTCTTGATTGGAATCTGGGTGTTTAAAAAAAAGCCCATTAAGGCAAGGTTCTTCTATTCAACCCAATCTACTGGCCATTTCACAGCTTCACAGTCTTGTTCAACTTCTTTCTGTGGTGAGAACGAATGAAAACCCATTTGTGTCGCATTGACTTCTCAGCCTCCAACACAGAGACAAGAAGTGCACAAAAATCAAATTAAACCGTTTTCGAGCATGCAACACAAGCACACAAGCAGCAAAGAATGTTGAGCAATTCACGTTGATTTTCAGGCACACAAATCAAAACCACATTTCGCATTGGAATGCACAGCAAATTCCCTCCTAAACACACCAATCTTGTGGCTGACGAAGGCTCGATAAAGAGTTGGATTGGAGTGTAATGGGAAATCCGATAATGTTATATTTTTACTATCAATTCTCGTGATTGATTGAAATGACTTTGAATACTGATGACCTTCGATGGAGGCAAATCAGAGAGTAAAAAGCAAGAGAAAATCTCAAATAACATGAGTTTTCATGACTTTTTTCCTGACTTTATGGACAACAGAACGACCAACTAAATTGCAACTCTGTGGACAATTTTAGTGGTTTTCACAAAGTCAAAGAGTGCTGTCGAAAGTGTCCAAAAGTGTAGCTTTAATGGATCTTATTTCCTTGGCAAAGTCATTATGACTCATGTAATGGACTTTTTTCTTTGCAAATTTTTGGTAATTCTTTTGTGTTTCACCATCAAATCTTTCGTAGATCATTAACTTAAAGACACTGTTTGAGAAATTCAAGCTCAATTCATGCGATGTTGTGAGATTCTTGAGTCTCTTGAGACTCCTTTGAGATGATAATGCAAGAATTTCTGCGCGATCTTCTTTTGCATACGCCTTCAGTTGATCACTTCTGAGAACCGCAAAGTAATTGCTGCGTTATTGCACAATCGCAGTTGCCCAGCGATCAGTTGATGATCGTTCGTGTGCAATTTCATTAGCAACACCGTTTTTTATTATTATTGCAATAAATCACTTTATAACTTTTAAAAGTATTTCAGGTATTCAAATGCTTGGGAAAACACTTCTGTCTTGCATACAAATTTGCAGGCACCAATTTCACAATATAGAGACTTTGGGGACAATAAAAGAGATCTCAAGAAGTGGCACAAGAAGTGACAAAACAATTTTCAGCGTACGCGAAGTAATCGCGCCCGATTTGACCATGATCTTGAGGGGTTTTTTTTGCCATTCAATTCCTCACTCTAGATAGCGATCTGGTATCCAAAAATCAGCGATCAAGGCTAGAAGCCATTAAAGATCGATGCTGCGAAATGTATTTCTCATTTCCGCTCGTTTCTTGGGCAAAATTTGACGCGGGATTTTCCGCCAATTTCACACCTGTCAGAGTGAGAGTGAGAGAGAGAAAAATGGCCCAGCATTTTTTGTCCAGCATCCAAATCTTGAGCACAACTTCAATGGCGCGAAATATCTAACAAACACACCCAAACTGGATGTTTGCGTTGTGAAAAGTGAATGGATGACATCATTGAGGAGAGCCTTGAGCGGAGCAATTCGTGATCTCTTACCTCGGATCTCGTGTCTCTCAATATATTTTTCGCACAGAAATATTATATGCATTCCACTTAATTGGCGCGCTCTCAAACCTGTTGATTGTTTGCGCGCGCAAAATCCCATGGAGATGCCCTAGCGCGAGGGCGTCACAATTCACTGAATCTCCTCTGCGTCTCTGCCGCAAGAGGAGCGTCTCCCACCCAGCTTCACCCACCCAGAAAAGCAATCAACTCTCACCTGGGCTTCGAACTGCACAAAAATTCACTCTCTTGGCCTGCCAAAAAGAAAAACTTTGAGGTTTCTTCGAGACTGAGCGCGCGGCACTTGTTCACTTCGTGCTTCTCGAGTTGTGACTGAACGGCGGAGCCGTTCGAGTGGTCAGGGAGCGACTTTTCACACACTCAAGCACCTCAGCAACCATCTCCGTCTCGCTCACTCGTCGCCGGGGGCTCTGCCCCACTCCCCCCGCGCCCGTTCCAACGCATCGACGCATCGCGCGCTCGCGGAGAGTCTTCGGATGAGCCACGCGGGATTTCCCAGCTCAAGACATCACGAGGAAGGCGAGCGATCGCCCGCCAAAGGCAGCAGGAAAAGCCCTGACGATGCATGAAAAATGTAATTTGTGCCTTTCATTGGAGTCCTTTTGTGTGCTAACGGCATCGCATCCAACACGAGCACAATAGCAGAAACGGGCTTTAGTTTAGAAGAGAGAAACACTATTGGGCTTTGGCATCAAGGGGTCGATATTACAGAAGGAAGTGGTGTACAACTCTGTCGAAGCGTTAGGAAAAGGAATTGGTCGAATTTTGCACTGCAAAAGCTTCTGTAGCAACAAATTGAGGCATTTCCTAAATTATTTTACTTAGAAAAATCAAATTCTTTTGCTTTTCTAGGTTATGTGATTGATTTAAAACAGATTCTGATGATTAAGCAATTCTCAAAATCATCTAATTTGTGTTTAAGTTGTGAATATTTCTTCTTTTCACTGCAGATTTAAGTACATGCTTTCAAAAAACTAAATTTCAAGCAGGAAATTGCTTGAAAATAACTTAAAAGTCAATCATAACCTCAAAAATATTATTTCAGTTAAGAAACATTTTGATTGTCGCTATATTTACTCAATTATAGGCATAAAACTATTCAAATTAATCCGAGAAAATGCCTTTAGAAGTGTTTCAAGTATTGAAAATTCTGCACAGGTGTACAAATTTAAAGCATGTTAATTCACCCTTGTTTTGCATGCTAAAAGGGAAATTTCAGCCAGTCATGTTTGAGATTGATTACACGAGAATGACGACAAAGTGACAATAAATAAATTGGAAATGTATAGTTTGTTTTACTAAGAAAATGAAGGAATTGCTAATGAATAATTACAAGATATAACAAGACAAGTAAAACCAGTTAAACATACAAATTATAGAACTTTGGATGAGATTCTTTAACCCTCTCACGTTCAATCTGGGATATATTTGATATTTTCCCGCCACAAAAGCACCAACAATAGAGGGTTAAAGTCTCAAAGACAAGCATGAAATGATGTAATCATTCTAAACTTATAGAATTGCATTTATTTTCCGCTGTCTCTGGAGAAGAACTTCTATTTTATGAATTCTTCAATGCGCTTTCATGTTTTATCATCTGAATATTTCACCACAAAGTCATGATTTTCCTGTCGCAATTCAACTTGCAACGCGAGTAAAGCATATCTAGCATTCCATTCCGCACTCTTTTCTTCAATTGTCATTGTAATACATTTTTCATAACGTCTTTACAACTCTTCCTTATCATTTATTACGGGGGAAAAAATACCTCTCTGAAAGCCACATTTCTTCGGGAAATTCTCCTGATCTTCCATCAAAGCTTTCAGCGTTATTTGCAGTCTAAAACTACTGATCCTTTAATTCCCTTTCGTGAGTGTTGCAGAAAGTAGAACAATAACGGGGATCACTTTTGGGGTATTCCTAATCAATAACGCGCGTGATTTAATGAGGAACATTCTAATGAAGGCACAGCGCGATAAGACAAACATCAATCTCTGATATCATTTCTTCTTCTTGCACTCCGAAATCCCCAAAAAACACCTTCTCCTCACGTAGTACAACTCCAGCCAGGCAAGCCTTGAGCGATCTTACATCATTTTCTGTCTACCTTTGCTGTGATAACGAATCGCAACTGCTCCAAATTAAGACTCACGGTGTGTCTGCGAATTAATATCAAGTCTGCTCAGCAGAGTGGAAAACGCCGGAGTTTTTTTTCGGGGGGGAAATTCTCTCGAGGAAATCAACCACACACTGATGATTTCCTCATTGACTTCCGCACATCAAGAGAGCAGCCGAAATGCATGAGAAGAACAGCGTTTATTGGAAAAAATCGAAAGAATTATGACTCCGCGCGCTCAGAGATTCTTCTCGGCGCCATTGCTGGGCGGATTGGAATCGTTGCTGATGCAAATCCACTGGCGGTCATTGTTCTCCTTCCACAGCGTTATGTTGTTGTCGCCGCCGGACACGGCCAGGATGTTGCCAGTGGCTGACCAGCTCACGTTCCACACCACGTCGTCGAAGACGTTGAGCACGGTGGGCGTCCAGTTGACATGGTTGTCGCTGCTCCACACGATCACGCGCTTGTCCTGGCTGCAGGAGGCGATCTGCGTGTTGGGCAAGCCAATGTTGGGCGCCCACGCGACGTCGCGAACCTGCAAAATGCAGAAAAATTAGTGAAATTGATCGATTGAAAATGCTGCACAGGAAACACTTAATTTTCCCCATTTTTCGTAAACAATTTAGGCAAAATTCAGGTATGAGTGTTGAGAATTACTGTTTAACTGATTTCAGTGACGTCAAAGAGCTCTTGTAGCTTTTTGTGCGTAATTTCGACAAGTTAAAAAGAAAAAAGGCACTATTTTAAGAGCTTCTGTAGTGAAAACACTCAAGAATTGCGAGATCATAAGATTTCTTGGACCTTAAATCGAGTTCTCTGCTTTAGAGACAGTTTAAAACGAATTTATAAGTTTAGCTTCGCCCATTCGGAAGCCACGCCCATTCCGAAACTCACCCAATCCGTGTGCAATTCCAGGCGACTCTCCTCAACCCATCGATCGCCGTCCTCGCGCCAGATCTTCACAAAATTGTCGCATCCGCCGGACACCAGCCGCTTGGGCGCCGGCGTGGCTCTGGCACTCTGGTCAAAGGAAGCATCCGGAAGCGCCGCTGGACACCAACTGACGGAATTGCAGCCGATGGTGTGCGCATTGGGGATGCGCTTCGCCTCCCACGTGTCCTGTGCCGTGTTGCACGTGAGGATGGAGATGGTGCCGTCGGAGGAGCCGCACGCCAGGATCAGGCCGTGCTCGGGCGGCGCCCAGGCCACGGAATTGACGGAGGAGTCGTGGTTGCCGTACTCATAGCACTTGCCCCAATCCTCCGCCTCCTTCCACACGATCACCTTCCGGTCGTACGAGCAGGACGCCAGGATGTTGCCGAAGCGCGGATGCGCCCACGCCACCTGCCACACGGGGCCACAGTGGCTGCGGAGCTCCGCAATCTGCCGGTGATTGCCGCCCTTGATGTCGAACACCTTCACGGTGTGATCGGACGAGCAGGTGGCCAGCCGGAGGCCGTAGTAGTCCACCTCGGCGCTGTGGATCAGATCCTCGTGGCCCGTGTCAACTGAATTTAGCACCGACACCATTTTCCGGGGATTTTCAGCGGCAGGAAAACAATCTGAAGAGCGACAACAGGATCCCAATGACGTGTCGAACGTCAACGGCGCGCACGCGATGGGGCGTATTTTACGCGTAGAGAAGTGCGGTAGATAAATGCTGCGGCTGCAAAAATTCCCCAAATATCAATGCAGTCACCTTTTCCTGAATTTCCCTAGCCCAGGATCAATGAATTCGCTGTATTTGTGGCACTTTTAGTGCATTAAAGAGAATATTTTACGCGTGTTTTTATTTGGGTGCTGGAGCGAGCTCTGGTGGCTGGTATCGGCACTGCTCGTCCATAAAATTTCGTCGCTCAGCCTTCTTCTTCTTCTTGGCCGTGGCGCCAGTCTCGTTTCATGGTGGACGGGCGAATTGCGTGAAAAATTTTTCTCTCGTCCTCGGGCAAGCAGAGAGCGTGCAAATAGTGGTGAAAATTGCGTAAAAGTGCGCGGAATGGGCGGGAGAAGATGTCTCGCAGTGGTGGTGACTCCAAATGGCGATATTTGAGAAGCGTATCGAGCGCAAAGTGAACCTCGACGACACCCAGGAGATCCAGTGTCGCATTGAAACGGCGCAGAAAGTCGGCGGACACACGGTTGGTGCGGGAGCTCCGCGTGGCGCCCCACAGAGTGGCTCATGTGTCTCCGTGCTTGCAGGAGTACGTGCTGAGGGTGCAGCGAGGGCCGCTGACAGAGAACTCCTGGCGACTGCTGCGGCGCTACAATGACTTCGTGCACCTGGACAAGTGCCTGCAGATCTCGGGGATCGAGCTGCCGCTGCCCGCCAAGAAGATCCTGGGCAACATGCAGCCCGCTTTCATAGCTCAGCGTCAGGTCGCACTGCAGCAGTACATCAATCACGTGCTCATGAATCCCATTCTTGCATCGTCGCTCCCGACGAAGAAGTTTGTCGACCCGGACAGCTACTCCACCCCGTTCCACGACCTCGCCCTCCAGAACGCCTCCCTCTGCCTGCGGGCGGACGGCCAGTATGCGCTGGGGCAGAGTCTGGGGCCCATCGGGTGGCGCCTGCGGAAGCACTACTTCCGCGTCACGATGAAGCTGCCCTCGGGGCGCAGCTCGCCTGGCCAGAGCAAGCACCTCGTCAAGTCCATCTCGCAGAGCCACGCGCGCGGCGCTCCCGGCGCCACGGGCAACGGCAGCGCCGCCGCGGCGCCCGAGCCCACGCAGGTAAGAAAAAACTCCCGGAAACTAGTGATTTTAGGCCCAATTCCAGCGCAAAGACAGAGTCATTGAGGCTTATTTACCGAGAGATTTGATTAATTCCACTGATAAACTGGGAAACTTCTGGCGGAAATTTGCACAATGTGGAGGCAAAAGAAGGTCGAGGAAGTGTGGAAAATTTTTGCCACTGCTTCGACAATGAATAATCTGATGATTCACTCAAACAAGACATTAAAGGAAATGTTCTGGTGGTTCTGGTTAAACTGGCGAGCAGGAAAATAGCACAAAACGTTGAGTTTTCACAAAGTTGAATCTGTTTAATCTTCTCTTCAATGACTTGCTGTGTTTTGATGATTTTCCTGCAGTATTTTCTGAGTAAGAATAACATTTGAATGAAAATTAGGTGGGATTTTGGGTGATAACGAAGTTATCCGTTGTGATTACAGAGTGAATTGAGTGATTTTTCATAAAATTCACTCAATTGGGCTTATTATCATGCTGGCCACTGTGCAGTTCACAGCGTAATTTACATGATTTTGTGTGCATTTTATGCACGAATGACATGAATCGCTATTTTGGCTGTGAAATTAGATTAGAGCGTAGCGGAAATTTCGGAGTAATTGACAGAGAGAGAGAGCGAGCGTGATTGTAATTAGAGCTCCCCGTTGTGCAGGACGTGATTCTGGCGTGGACGGAATATGGCCCCGATAAGTACATCGACGACCGGGAGATTCACGCCGCGCTGCGGAATCTCGCCGGCGTGCAGCATCCCTACATCCAGCCCCTGGAGTACGTGACGAGCAACGACAACGGGGCGCTGGTGATTCGCAAGTTCTCGGCGCACGGCAGCCTCAAGGACATGCTGTGCTGCGTGCAGCCCGTGAATCCCTTTCTCACCAAGTACGGCAACCCGAAGGGGCGCTCGCCGCTGCCGCTGCGCGACGTGGCGCTGTACGGGCGGCAGATCCTCGAGGCGATTCGCTTCCTGCACTCCAAAGGGCTGCCCATTGGCCACATTCACGCCGGCAATGTGGTGATCTCCGGCGGCACGGCGCGCCTGATGGACGTGGAGAACTTCATCCTTGGCGTGCCGGCCTTCTATCGTCCCTTCTTCGTGCAGCACTCGAAGATCAGCACGTTCGAGGCGGTGGACGTGTACTCCTTCGGCCATCTGCTCTACGAGATGACCATGGGCTTCTCCCTGCAGGAGTCCGTGGCCAGACAGATCACCGACTGTCCAGACTCACTGCGGCAGCTGCTCGAGTCGCTGCTGCTCAGAGACTCGTGCAAGAATGGCCTGCCGACGCTGGATCAGGTGGCGCAGCATGCCTTCTTCCAGGAGCACGTGCCCAACTTCGCGGACGTCCTCGCCAAGGCCAGCAAGACGTCGAAGCCGCACCTAAAGTGGTCCACCACGGCCAAGGAGCAGCTCAAGATCGCGGTGCAGAAGTCAGAGCAGCGCCTGAGGGACGAACAGAAGTCCGTGCGCAACCAGAAGAGACTCGTGCGGGTGCAGGAGTGGATGAGTTCCGAGGAGGAGAAGAAGAAGATCAAGAGCAAGGCGGTGAGTTCAAGCTGGCTTTTATTTTTTTCTTCTTCTCTGGGTTGAAATGAAGGGGCGTTTTATTATGGGTTTTGAGCACACAACAGCGCGCAATTGAAGTGAGAAGTTTTGTAGTGGAAAATTAGGAAGAATTAGAGATTGAGAGGTTATCTAATGGACCAGAATAAGACATTCCTAAGCTTGTGTGGGACAAAATGAATGAATTTTCCTCTTTTTGCTGTCGAAATGCAATTTTTTAAGTTGACGATTAAGAAAAAAAAAGTCAGTCAAAGATCTTTACGACTGTCATAAGAGCTTATATGAATTAATCCTACGAATGTCCAATGAATTGTGTGATAAGACAAAATCTATTCACTTCAATCGTTCAGTTCTGTACTTTTTTTCTGCTAAAGAATTCCCCTTGGGAAATTCCTGAAATGCTTTTGAGTATCTTCTTACCTTCTCAGTAACTGAAATATTAATCTTAAAGTGATATTTCGTGCAATATTCTTTCGAAAGAATACCTCAATATCTTCAATCAATTCTATAGAGACATTTCTGGGGGTTTCCTTGAGGAAGTTTGCCACTAAATCGTGTCAATTTCCTCTGTCTGGGATTGAATGACCTTTTCATTCTCTGAATAAATCATTGATTTCCGCCCCCCGAAATATGCTCTGGGACGAGAGCAGCACATACAATTGACGCGAGAGAGAGAGAGAGAGAGTGAGAGAGAGAGCGAGGGAAATCCATCAAAGGGCCGAAAAGCCCAAGTTTATCGATAAATCAGTGGACTTGCTCCGCGCTGTCTCTTCCAATTTTTATCAGCACACACAATTGACCGGCTCGGAGGAAAAGCGAGGCTTTTGATGACTCATTAATTATGGAATGAGTTCATCCATTAAATAAGCGCGCGCGGCGAGGGTGGAAAATCGTTAACATCCTCTCAATTTTTATTTTTTTTCCTCCGTATCTCGCGGTATTGAGAGATTATTAACACACAGCATTGGATGATGGTGTGGCGGCGGTGTTTTTTTTTTTTGGGAATCTTTGCAGAAAATGGAGCAGAAACAGTCGAAGCTTCGTCAGCAGACTTCGTTGCAGCTGCAAAATGGTCCACCCGTGACTCCACTCACGCTGACCCGCTCTGACAGTGTCAACAGCGTCTCCACGTCGCACGAGACGGATTCGCCACTCCCGCCGCCACCGCCGCCGTCGCTGCCCAATCTGTCACGCACGACGGATGACCTGCGGCCGAGCACGAGCGGCGAGCGGGGGCGCTTCGCCCTGCTGGACTCAATCTGCAAGTTCAACAAGTCTTCTCTGCGGCGCGTGGCGTCGGACGATTGAGTGGACGATTGGAGATGAGAACTTGAGCGCGATGCTGTGCATGTCAAAGGTACATTCGGACCAATTTTAATTGTAGTTCTTAAAGAAAACAAACCCACGAGAGTTTAGAGAAGAAGATGATCGAGAGAGAAAGTGGGGAAAAATCAATGCAAATCGATGAAACATAATCAGGCATGAGCGCGATTCAAAGGCAGCACCGAAAGAGAATTCTCAAATATTTACAAAATAGACACAAAGAGAGAGAGAAAGAGAAGGAGAAAAGGAGGAGGAGAGAGAAAAATTTGTAAATCAAAAGGCACTAAAATGAGTTGCTTTCATCGTTACCAAATGGGGAGGGGAAGAAAGAAAGAAAAAAAGGAGTAAAGTGAAACGCATTTTCCTCCTCCAATTCCGCATAAATTGTATTGTATATTTCTTTCCTAATGGTTATTGGATACTTTCCTCATGAATTTTTAAAACATGCCCGGCATTTTATATTTAAAGTCACAGAGAGAGAAAGAGAGGAAGAATGTGATGAAAATGTGTGGAAAATTGTTATTCTCGCTTTTATTTTTACACCACTTTTTGTACAATTTCAATGTAAATTACAAATTTGTCTTCTTTTTTCGACACACACACACACATTCGGCATGGAGAGAGAGAAAAAGCATTTGCATGTTTGTTCTCTTGCATAATCAATTGTGCGGATGATAAGAATATAATATCATATTTCCTGATGGTTTAAAAAAAAACGAATTGAAGCGCGCAAAGCAGATATAAAGAAAATAAAATGCTGAGCCGCTAACAAAGAGAAAAAGATATTGAGCGAAAAGGAGGGAGAGAAAAATTAATTAAATTATAAGACTGCACCTTAATTGGAAAATCACTAGAGAGAATTGACGAGAAAGAGAAAATTATAAAAAAGTAGAGAAAAAAGAAAAGTTATGCTGAAATATTTGTGTGTGAAAAGTAAGATAGAAAAAGAAGAAAAAATCGTTCTTATAATTGTTGTGTCAAATTGTCTTACCAAAATACTATAATAATAAATAATAATAATGATGAGAAATTAAAGAGATAAAAAGAAATGTTCTTAGAGAAAAATCCTTAAAGAAAAAGATGCAAAAAAATAATCTCCTTTAAATGTAAAGAAATTCCCCTTAAATTAACCACACTTGTGAGAGTGTTTAAAAGGAAAGTACATAAAATATATAAAATTGATGTTTCTAAATGTGACACTAAAAAAAAACAACCCAAAATTTCCCATTAAACAAGAGAAATGATTAAAGATAAATGAGATCTTATGATAACAAAGCTTGATGTTTATGAAAAAAATTAAAAAAAAATACATTAAAATTGTGGAAATTGACGCGATGGAAATGAAGTTTCAATTGAGTTTAAATCCTGATTCGACGGAGAAGGAGAAATATGAATGTTTTCATGCATAAGAAATTGATTTCTTCAACAATTTATAAAATCACTCAAATTCCTTAATATTTCTGTCGTGTTGCTTTTCACGATGCAAAAAAAAGATCACAAATTATTGTGACAGAAAGAATGGAAGAAAAACTAGAAAATAATATTTACGTATAGAAAATAATGAGACAAGAGAAAAAAGGACAAAAGACTCACAAATTTGGTGAGGAAGTTAGTTGAAGATAAAGAGAAAGAAAAAGTGTAACATTTAGTCAATATTAGTTAAAATAATGGATATTTGTGCATCTTTGGCGCTGCGGTGAAATCAATATGTTCGCCGCCAATAGACTCGAATGCAAATCATCCGGCCTCTCTGGCAGAGAGTGAGTGAAGGTGGTTTAGAAATAATTCAATTTCCTCGACTTTCACCACCCCCGCGCGCCCACCTCGTTGTATTTGTACAGAGAGAAGAGAAGAGCTCTCAAGTGAGTGGAGGAGATATGAAAAGTTTTCCAAACATGCCGTCGCCCTTCCGATCGATACGACAACAACACTCTTTACCGACAAAATGCCATTACACCTTTTGCTTTCATGTGCTCTAGAATAAGCGGAAGACGAAGCGCGGCGGAGTTCATCCTCGTGGGGGGGAAAAGAAGAGAGGCCAAGGAGGAAAAATATAGCTTTATGTGTTTTTTATTTAGACAGCACGAGTGGGAAAGAATGGCGCAGAAGAGGAGTTTATTGTTGTTATTGAAGTGATGTTTCTATAATATTACGAAGAAGTAAAAGAAGTGAATTGAGAATTACAAAATGAGACGTGATAGTGATTAACCCAAAATGTATATTTTTTATTGAGAGATTTTACGTTATTATTTCTTTATTTACAACACAAATAATTATTGCTGTAAAGTATTTTTGTTATTGTCTCAAAGTTGTAATAATAATAATAAATGAAAGAAGAAAAACATCTCATTTTTGAGTAGGTGATTTATTTTTTTTATTTGTAAAATAAAAATATTCTTTCAATTTAAAACACAAAAACACAAACATGATTAATAAAGAAAAGAGAGAAAGAGTGAGAAGATTAATTGAGCTCAAAGAGAGTTTCCAGACATTTTTTCCAATTTATATATTTTCTATATTGTGAATTTTTTAATAAAAGGCAAATGAAAGTGGATTTTTTTGAAAGAGATTTAAAAAAAGAAAATATTGGCGATTTGAGAGACAAGAAGTAAATTTTTGATGTTTTTTACTTTTATTGCGATAGCGCAAAATGCCGAGGATCAGAAGACACAGGATATGTTGAGAGTTAAAAAAAATAAACCCAAAAATATATATTGTGAGAATATTTGTGTAAAATATATATAGAAGAAGGACAAAAGATGCATTTTACTGTCTATGCGACACTGTCTAAGGCGAAGCCTTCTCCGTCTGACGTGATCCTCGCTGTTAGGATATTAGCCGGTAGAGGTTTCTGTTATTCCATCTTTATAAATTATTCCAAATCCTGTGCTTCTGAAAGTATTTCCGGCCTTTGGAATTGATTCGGCGCACTCTTTAACGATTCACCGAATAAATTCGTCTAAACCATGAATTGTGTCTCTGCTGACTTAGTCGAGGCACATCTCATCGATTCTGTTCAAAAGCCGCAACGATTTCCTGGAAATCGCAATAATAATGAAGAGCTTTTCACAAAAAGCCACCCTCGGCCTCAATTACAACGTCAGGACATGCAAATAGAGTAGTAGCGGAATATCGTGTCATCCTTGAATTAATAATGCTGTTGTTGTCGCGACGGCACAAACCGACAATTTCCGTTGAAGGATTTATTAGTCCATCTGCATTAAAAGTGCCATCAGATGGAAGAATTTCGCCTGAGATATTAATCAGTCAGCCATGCTATCATATCTAGCATTCTGCATGGGTAAATTAGTAGGTTTGCGATTGGTTGTGACAGGATGAACAAAGGATTCTACTTCCGAGAATCCCAGAAGATGATCCAAAGTCTCAGTGTAAATGACATGAAATCTCTCTCTCACTCTCTCTGACTCAGCACAAATCCCACTCATTTGAGTGTTGCCCATTGCTAATTTATTGATTCTAAAGTGAAACTCATACCTTTGCTTCGGTGATGTGCAATTGTTGTCCAATTGGACACACTCGTAAAAACCCATAAATGGTTTTGTGTTGCTACAAATCAATGAAATTACTCCATTAAATTACCAATTTTCCTGCCGTTTCGATGCTTCCATACACGGGAGAAATATAAATCAATTGCCACATGAATTACTTAATTGGTAATTGGATTCCATCTGACGTCAATGTGTCTTGCTTTTGAGGAGCGTGAGGATTTTCTCAAGGATTCAGCCACATTTCCTGCGCCTCTCTTCTCTGTACCTCACATTGCTGGACGCGCTGCTGCCGCACTGCTTTGGCCACACTCTCTGTAAACAGAGAATCGATGAAACGAGGAGAAAAATGATCCAGAGACTCGCATTCCTCGTCATCTCATCAACGCCATGCTTCCCTCCCCGCGCGGCCACCCTCTCGCCCACTCTGGCGGCTGATGACCATCACCCAGAGGCGAATTGAGTCTCAAACACACGAACCATCCTCACCTTCTGCAGAAATTGTATTGAACACGCTATCGATGGGCACACAGACCACGGCAATTCACGGGCCCTTCTCCATGCCCTCTTCGCCCGAGATATCAATCTCGAAAATGGTCCAGGTGTGAAAGAGGCGTGGCTCTTGAGTCTTTTGAAGACAGGTCCTGAAACCGAGATTCCAAGATTCTGCACCGAGAAACCGCTCACAGGGAGCCTCATTTCGCCAGCCGCCGCGGCCAAGGAGGAGATATTCTCCCAAGAGTGCTGCACAGCTCAGCGGAAGCTAAACAAGTGGGAAATTTCATGACTTACTGTTTTTATTGCATAATTTTGTAAAGGAAAATCAATCAGAATATTTTTATAGGTTATATTAATGCGATTAGATAAAATTAAGTAGCAAAATAACCTAAAAAAGATTAATTTTAAATCTTCAGATGGAAATATCAGCGTTTTTAGACAGAATCTCAATAGCACTTTATAATAATCACAAGAATTCGGGTTTTAGGGATTATTAACAGTGTAAAGATAAAACATAACCTCAAAAATGTAGTTTTGGAATTCAAAATTGGACAATTGTACATTTTAAATAAATATCACGACAAATATCACCTGGAAATTAAGATAAATCTGTTAATTGTGGTTGTTAATTGTTTTTTATTGTGATTCAGTCAAGAATGGCGTCTTTTTGAAGCAAGAAAACTTAGTTTAGATCAAGCTTACATTATCTCCCCCTTGACTTTGCCGTCTGCAGAACTTCTCGCTTCTGCTCGGTGTGCAGAAACACTTGAGGAACACCCGGTGAATTGCCCAGAGCTCGATCTTTATAATGAAATTTGGCACGTAGGAAATTAGGCGGTATTTTGCAAAGGAGAACCGAAAAGTTGCACTCATCCTATATGCGGTTTCGCTGCACTGTTGGCGCGGCCAAATAACAACCAAGAGTGCAGGAGAAACCCAAATAGCCGAAATGCGAGAACAAAACACTCTCATGTCCGATATAATTTGTCGGAATTGGGCCTCTGCTGCGCCTTCCCAGGCTGTGCATTTATAGAGGCTAATTAAAGTGCGAACTTTACAACCACTTGCGCGGATTTATGCGTCTCTTTGGCTCTTTGAAAAATAACCGTCAATTCTCCTCCAACTCTGTGCGCGCGATCTTATCACGAAGGCAGATCTCGAGTGATCAATAAATCAATCACGCGATTAATAATTGGCGGTGTGGGGAAAATTGAAAAATTAATTAAGTAAATTCAACAGCGACTAATGCGAAGGATGCCAGACATCCTGGCGTGATTGACTTTCATTCAAAATTATACGAGCCTCCCGAAAGACAGAGAAAGAGAGAGAGAGAAAGAGCGAAACTTGGGCATTATTTTTCATCAACATCGAAAATTATTCACGACTCTTGTTGCTCGGGTATTTAACTTTTTTTCTCCCTGAGCGATCTCCACCTCTTCGCGCTGTGTGGAAATATGGTTCCTGCCTGTCTGGGTTGATCGTTGCCTCTCTTTTTCGATGGGCTCTGGAGTGCGCGAGTGAGAAGAAATTGCGCGAAGAGACTTTACCAACCAACACTTCGATCATGCCGTGCCGGCAAGTCTAATTCATTTTATTGTACAATTTATGCCAGAGAGCCCGAAGTTGATGCTTAAGAATGTTTCTTCCCTCGGATGAATTGCCTCCACATCTCCTTTCGTCCTCTCGTTGCACCTCAATATTGAGGTGATTGGCAAATAATTTTATAGACGCTCCTTTATGATTCCACACACACCGTCGATGGATGTGTGAAAATGAGCAATCTCACATTCTGCCGCGGCTCTCTTTCCTCCCCATTTCGCGCATGACGACAATAAGCCAACCATCATCAGAATATAAGATGCAATTCGCGATATCATTCCCCAAGCATATCGCGCGGCTGATCTGCCGACGAACCCTCCGCGCCAGAGACTCCCTCGGAGATTCACCGACTGCGTAAATAACATCTTGTAATGATACGCAAATGCAAACAGACCCGTATTTAAGGCACCCAGAATGCCTCTTTTGCTCACCGTCGTCAGCCAACGGATCCGCGCGCGCGTTTTCCAGAAGGTGGCGGCAAAGGAACTCCCGTGTTATTATTTTCAATTAAATTTTGATACTTTGTGCCTCAAGAGACACGCACGATGCTTCCGTAATCCCGCGCGAATTGTGTC